GCAAAAGGTTAGCTAAAAGTATCAAAAGGCTTGTTAATAGTAGCAAAAGGTTAGCTAAAAGTAAGAAAATGTTATCTAAAAGTAGCAGAACACTAGTAAGAAGAACAGCACTAGCTAAAAGTATCAAAATGCTAGCTGAAAGCTAAAAGTAGCATAAAACAGAGCCAGTGGCTGAAGCAGATTTCACAGTTTTTGAAGGAACTGAAGTGTTTTTCCGCGTTTCTATGAGAAAATGTATAAAGTTAAAAACTTAGAAAAGTTTAAAAGTTACAAAAACTAGAGGTCACAGGACGAAGAACGAGCCGAACGTTTTGATGTATGAACAGCTAAAATTAAATGGCAGAAGTACGGGTAGTTAAATTGTAAATAGTCTGGAAAATAAAACAGGAACCCCAAACGTGCTGAGTCAGCTTTTACACAAAACACAGTTTGACAGAAAATAGGATTTCAGCTCCAACAATGCGACTTCTTGAAGCTCTGGCAGCTGAAAACATATTTCAGTTCAGTTTTTTTACATTGAAGGAAAAAAACAACAACATTAAATCAAGATTATTTTAGTTATAGTATTTTCTGTTTCTGCATGGTCGTATAAATAAACTAAACTGACTTGAGCTAATAGTTTTAACCAAAACATTTCAGTTACTGACTCTACATTTTATGATGCTAAAATGATCAGACTTAAAAACTGGACAAAGAGCAGCTCTGGTTGTTGTGGAACAAAAAGTCACAGATCTGTCAGACGTGAACTTCCTGTTTGGTGTCCTCTTCAGGAGACGGTGAAGAGGAGCCCCAGCCGAGGCTCCCAGGAGTCGGGGCCGTCGCCGGCGGCGAAGAAGGACAGCGAGCTGGAGGTCATCCTGAGACGTCGACGCAACAAGGCTGGAGAGGCCGGATCCGGAGGTACGACTGCATCACAGGACGTTTGATGGAGCGGAAAGGATCAAGGAAGAACAGAATCTTGTCTAAAAATATTGAGAGAAAGTTTTTTTTTTTTAAAAACACACTTTATGGGGTGCCGTTTGTAAAGTTACACAGTCAAAAATTTACAGCAATATTTTGGTTTATTTAGACCTTCATGAGGAAAAATTTTTTTTTTTTTTCCCAGTCATATTTTTCACCACGTCATTCATACATTTATAAATGTCATAGTTCCAAACTAAATATTTAATTTACAAGCTAAATATTTAGTTTACAAACTAAATACTTTACTTACAAGTTAAATATTTAGTTAGTAAGCTAAGTATTTAGTTAGTTAGCAAATTAAATGTTTATGTGCAAGATAAATGTTTAATTTACAAACCAAATATTTAACTTGCAAGTTAAATATTTATTTAGTGAACTAAATATTTAGGTGTAAATTAAATATTTAATTTTTAAGCTAAACATTTATTTTCAAAACTAAACATTTAATTTCCAAACTAAATATTTATTGTCCAAGCTAAATATTTAATTTCCAAACTAAACATTTAATTTGCTAACTAAATATTTAGCTTGGACCTAAATATTTATTTTCAAAGCTAAACATTTAATTTCCAAAATAAATATTTAATTTTCTAACTCAACGTTTAGCTTGGATCTAAATCATTATTTTCCAAACTAAACATTTAATTTACAAAATAAATATTTAATTTGCTAACTAAATATTTAGCTCAGACCTAAATCATTATTTTCCAAATTAACCATTTAATTTACAAAATAAATATTTAATTTGCTAACTAAATATTAAGCTCAGACCTAAATATTTATTTTTCAAACTAAACATTTAATTTCCAAAACAAATATTTATTTTGCCAACTAAATATTTAATTTGTACATTAAACATTTACCTTGGACATAAACATTTAGTTTGTAAACTAAATAGTGTGGAAATAAATATTTAGCTTGCTAACGAAATAGTTAGCTTGCAAGTTAAGTATTTAGTTTGTAAACTAAATATTTAGCTGGTCAATTAAATATTTAGTTTGAAACTATGACATTTATAAATGTATGAATGACATGGTGAAAATACGACTTTGTTGTTTTTTTTTTATGAATGGCTAAATAAACCAAAATACTGATGTTAACTTTTGACTGTGTAACTTAACAAACGGCACCCCATAACAATTTGCCTTAAAAAAATAAAAACCAGGTTCTTGTGGAGATTTGTTGAATTTGACATCAAGTTTCTGCTTTTAAACAGAAATTCATCAGAAGTTGTTTTTTTTTTTACAAGTTTTCCATCAAACACAGAAACGGGAAAGATAATTTTCAGAATTCTCTCCGAGCTCAGATGAGTTGACTCCGCATGTCTGCGGCAGAGGAACCGCAGGAGGTCCTGGTTCCATCCAGTCGGTCGATTCAAACGGCACGTGTCCGGATCACTGCAGAGGTCAGAGCTGTCCTCCCTCCGCCCGGATCAGAACCAGTTCATGCTTCAGACTGGACTGACTGTTAGAGTCCAGCTGAGGGCGCCCGCCGCACCACAGAACCGACACAGAATGAGGTCGAACTGCTGCCGACCTCCTCTGGCAGAGCATCACGATGAGCGGAGCGGATCTCAACGTGACTTTCATGAGGCAGCGCATCCTCCTGGTCCCGGTGTCCTCCCCTGCAGCCTGGGTCGTCTTCATCAGACTGAAGGGGAGTCTTGGGTCCAGTCCAGGTCCTCGCTCCTCCAACCTGTGCTGCAGCTAAACGTCCATCCAGCATGTTTCTTTGTCTCTAAAACAAAATGTTATCTTTAAAAATCATCTACAACTTCATAGACGATCCTCTCCAGAGTGAAACGTCCAGAAACCTTCATCCATGGTCGTGCAGCTTCTGCTTCATGTGGGCTCCTCCCCCCAATAAAAGCTCTGAGTTTTAAAATGACTTGTGTGCAATCTATGTCGTTTTTCCTCTCAGGATTCGTAGTCCTCCTGACTCCTAAACCCCGGTGCTCCGGGGACTTGATCGAGTTTTTCGTGTCTGTCTCCAGATGAGCGCGACGGTCAGATGAGCCACGTCTCCTCCTTGGACAGCCTGAACGGGAGGCGCACCAGCACTGACTCCAGCAAAGATTCAGAGGGACCCGCTGGGCTGAGCGTCCCACCTGACCCGGCTGGAACCAGGGTCAGCCCAGAGAGGCGGGGATCTGGGCCGGGGCCCGTGGTGGCCCCGAGGAAGAGCTCCGACAAGGAGAGGAGGTCCTGCAGCTCTCTGCCTGAGAGGGAAGCCGCCGAGTGTCTCGTCAGCAACGGCTGCTTCAGCAGGTGGGCGAACATGTAGCTGTTTGTGCGTCTGTTAGCAAAATATCATCTTGAACTGCACTGACTCAGTCAGTCAAGTAGACGTGCATAAAGTTTCTGAGAGTTACAGTAAATCTGTTCAGTGGTTCAGGAGATATTTTGCTAACAGACATAGAGCCCGTTCTACATTAAGGGTTTCAAATGGTGTACGGTGGTCCAGATCTGGACCCAAATGAAGTCATATGTGGACCCAGATGTTCTTAAAAGGTTTTTATTTTATTTTTTTGTTTTAAATGATTCGAAGCTGCGCAGGTTTTCTGAACTTTACGGTCCGTGGGTTCTTCCTCTGCTTGTACCGGTGCGCAGGTCCAATTCTGTCCCACTGCAGGAAGAAATCCAGCACCACACCTGGATAATATGAATTATTATTATTATTATTATTATTATTATTATTATTATTATTATTAT